AATTTTTTTTTCCTTTTGTTTTTTTCTCTTCTATCCAAAGTACTAATTTGTACTATTCAAAAGAGAATTAGAAACTTTATAAGTTTATCAGCTCCATAATCCTTCAACAAAAGTATAATCTGATCTTTAACTTGTGTACTACAAATAACTTGAGCATATTTATTTAAATGTCATAAAATATTGCCATGTGGTGGTTCATTTTTGGTATTTCACAAAACATAGTACAGAAGGGTAGTCATACTACTATATATGTAGCTCAAGCCAAGATTTAAGATTTGGAACCCTGGCGTCCTACTACTGCCTTTTAAATTCCATCTTTAAGAGTCTGTATATAAATGTTTGTAAGACTTAAACACACTAAGGGTTCTTTTGATCACTGAGGCTGCTGTAACAAGCACTGTACACTGGAGAGCTAATGAATGACAGAATGTTGTTTCTTACAGGGCTGGAGGTGGGTAGTCCAAGGTTAAAACGTCAGCAGATTCAGTGTGTGGCGAGGGCCTGGCTGCTGGTCCACAGATGGTCCCTTCTTCCCAAGTGTTCATGTGGTGGGCTGGAGGACCTCTGAGCTCTTCAGCCCCTTTCAGAGAATTGATCCCATCAGGAGAGCACCATGCTCATGACCTCCCAATACCAATGTATTAAGGGTTCGGCTTCAACTCAAGAATTGGGAAGGAAGCACAACAGTGGGAAGGAGCACCCTCTGATAAGCTTTATCTTCAGAAAATTAAAAAAGAGGGCCAGCCAGACAGCTCAACGGACTAAAGTGCCTGCTTAGGCAGAGTGTAGTGGCTAGGGTTCGATCCCCAGTGTGCCGTGCTGGCCCTGTCCCCGGGGCATGCTGGGAGGTGATTGAGACTGGGCGTGGTGGCGTAATCCCAGCACTTGGGAGGCTGAACACAGGAGGATCACTATGAGTCTGAGCTACGCAGTGAAACCCTGTAGACCCTGTACTGAATACATTTTTTAAAAAAACATTAAAAAGAAACATTTATATGACATTTAAATAATTATTAGGTGCCAATGCTGGCTTCACTTAAACATGTTCAGATTTTTATTTATCTCATATTTTAGTGTGTAATATATAAAACCATTTAGAAAATTTATAGGGTTAGTGCCATTGCCCTCTTAATGAAACAGATATATAATTTTTTAAAAACCTGCATGGAAGCCTTATGTATTTAACTAGTAAATTATACTTTAGTATACTACTAAACTATTATGCTATTAAGATATTAACTATTTTAAGTTATGATTGGGGAATGGGGGTACTTTAAAGCAGAACTGTCTTGCTGCAGAACTTTTTAAATTGATGACTATATTATGATTTTAAATGCTCAGGCATAAACATAAAGCCTCGGTGCTGCACCAGGCCCTTTGTAGGTACAGTGAGGACATGTAGTTCACATGCATGCAGGCAGCTCAGGCTCAAGCAGGGAATGTTTTTGTTTACAGCAGGTCTTACTACATATGTTCTGTTATTTGCACGAATGGAATATGCAATGTCTTTTCCCATAGGAGACACGAAAAGAAAAGCCTGGATCAGAGCAATCTGCAATTTCAGATAATAACAGCTTTTAAGATACATTTTTAGGATTAAGAATATGCTAATTTTATTAAATGAAAATATTTGTAACTATGACTTTCTCAATAACAAAGCAAGTTTCTCAATAAAATACTTATTTTGACTGGCATTGTCTTCTTTGCATGATCTGAATAACGCAGGAGCATCATAGCGGTCTGTTCTGTAAGTGCTTAATGTTTTCTTAAATTTCTTAAATTTTATTTATTTATTTATTTTGTGTCTGTGTGTGGCCAGTTCAACCCACCAGGGGGCGGGGCTGGCTGGCATGTGGTGCTGGGGGATTGAACTGCAGTCCCTGTGCTCTGCTTAGCTTAGCTTGTTCTAAGTAGGTGCTTTAGACCACCGAGCCATCTCACCAGCCCCTAAATTTCTTAAATTTTAATCATTTCTTAAATTTAAGAAATGAGCTTTCTGAGCTACATCTTGGCCTGACTAGTAAGTTTCTAAAAGTTACACAGTACATCTAAAGTACTTGAGATAACTGGACATAGGTAGTCATGAGGAATGATGCTTGGAAGAAAGTTCAGGATCACAAGTGATATCACCATTCTTCAGAAAAAAAATCGATTTTAAATTTCTGTAACTGGTATGATAAAATTTGAGGTGATTAAAAGAGAGAACATTTGCTACATAGACCTCCTTTGCCAAATATACAAGAAGAAACTGACTTTCTAAATTTTTCAGATGCATAATTATTTCTAGGGCAAATTTTTCTATTAAACATTGATATATACTGATATCAAAGATCAAACTAGCTTTTTGTGAAATAATTTTTTGATGATTCCCTTGATTTATTAAATAATTGAGATAACTTGTATGTGTGGAGTATTTTGTCCCAGCAATGAGAAAATAAGACAATAATGATGAATAATATCATTTATGGATTGATCCAAAAAATCCTTAATTCAGCCACTATATTTTTTACTCTTACAATGGACAAAATTTAGGAAACTACTGAATTATATCCCACCAAGGCATTAATTAGCTACAGTGTACTCACAGTCTGAACATCATATGGAACTTACAGAGTCTCTCCAGCTGTTTTATAAATTAACGTACCCTTATAAGAATTTTATTTTTATCTGGTGAATTTTTCACATTTTAATACGGAAAGAGGCAAAAGGGTAACATAATTTTCTTTCTTTTTTTTTTTTTAGACAAGGTCTCACTATGCAGCTCGGGCTACCCTCGTATTCACTTTTGTAGCCGCCAGGCTGGCCTCGAACTCCCAGAGATCTTCCTGGCTCAACCTCCTGAGTGCTGGGATTACAGGCATGCACCACCATGCCTGGTTCCAGGGCCACACAGTGGGCGCCTGTATCTGGGACTGAGACTGCATGGCATGTGAGATCAGGGATTGAACTCATGTCCTTGTGCTTGCCAGGTAGGTGCTTATACTTCTGAGCTATCTCTCTGGCCCCTAGCTTATTTTCAAAACTATTTTTGAGGTAAAAAAACAAACAAAAAAAAAAAAAACCAAAAAACTGGGCTCACTATGTAACCCAGTCTGGCCTCAAACTTGTGGTGAACCTCTAGCCTCGCTTCCCAAGTGCTGGGATTACAAGCATGAGCCACTATGCCTGGCTTTCTCCACTTTCACAATGGTAAGTGGAAAAGAGGGCTGTGCAAATTCTATCATTATAGTTGGGGGTTTACTTAATGAATACTTAACTGAGCATCTAGCATTTGCCAGAGATGGTATTGAACCAATGAGGATAAATATGATTTCTGTACTCATAGAGCTTCTATTCTACTGTGAAACATAGATGCTAAAAGTATAATTAGGGGCTGGGGAGATAGCTCAGTAGAATAAGCTCTTGCCTGGCAAGCTCAAGGGCCTGAGTTCAATCCCCGGTTCTGCCAAAATAAAATAAAATAAAATAAGGTATAATTAACTTGTGATCAGGATCACACGTGACTCTAGGAGCATTTAAGAGGGACCTGACCTGCAGTGTAAGGAGAACATCCCTAAGGACCTTATGTCTTCCAAAACTTTAAAAGATGTGAAGAACTAATTCTGTAAAGGGCATGCATGGAAGGAATGGTACAAGCTGAGGGTATGGCTAGGAGGAAGCACCTGGGCATTCAAAATCTTGAAAAAGCAGCATGGTTAAAACAAACAAAAAACAGTGGTGAATAGGTAATAAAGTATAGCTGGGGACAGATAGATTAGCAGGATCTTGTAGTTGTTTGTTGAGGACTGTGACTTTAACATAAGTTAGAGCTTTAGAGTCAACAATAAGAAAATGAACTAATTAAAAATGGGCAAAAGATCTGAACAGACACCTCATCAAAGATGATGTACAGATGGTAAATAAGCATATGAAAAGATGCTCGACACATGTCACTAGGGACCGCAGATTCAAATGAGAAACAGCTGGGTACAGCAGTGAGCGCCTGCAGTCCCAGCTATGGGGGGGTTGTGGGGAGCTAGGGGGATCATTTGGGCCCAGGAGCTTAACCAGCCTGCGTAATGTAGGGAGGCCCTATCTAAAAATAATACAAAGTTGTTAGGATAGATATATAGCCACTTTCTCTTAATTCAATAAGAAAAAAGATTTGTACTAATAGTGTTTGGACAGGATATCATGTCGGCATCTTGAGCTATGAATGACTACTACAAAGACAACAATATGCAATGTGTTAATTGTTGTAATTCTCCTACCAATCTGTTTGGAAACTGTCTCATTGAAATTTTTTCTCAATAAAATAAAAATAATAAAAATAATAATATGATAAAATGAGTTCTGATAAAACACCTATCAGAATGGCCAAATCAAAAACACTGATGACAACAAATGCTCACAAGGATGTGGAACAATACTGCTGGTAGGGATGCAAAATGGTGGGGGCTTTATAAAACTAAATATACTCTTACCATAAAATCTGCCAATTGTGTATATTGCTATTCACTCAAAATGAGTTGAAAATTTACCACCTCATAAAATACTAAATGTGAGTATTTTTAGACTTATTCATAATTGCCAAAATTGAGATGCAACCAAGTACAAATAGTGGCACATCCAGACAAGAGGATATTAATCCATGCTAAAAATAAATGAGCTGGGCCAGGGAGATGGCTCAGTGGAATAAGCGCTTCCCTGGCAAGCACAAAGGCCTGAGTTCAATCCCTGGTTCTGAAAAAAAAAAAAAAAAAAAAAAAGAGCTAATAAGCTCTGAAAAGGAATTGAAGAATCTTAAATATGTATTACTAGTAAGTTAAAAAAAGAAAAAAAAAAACAACACGGGCTGGTGAGATGACTCAGTGGTCTAAAGCACCTACTTAGAACAAGCTTAGCAAAGCACAGGGACCACGGTTCAATCCCTCAGCACCCACGAGCTGGCCACACACACACACACACACACACACACACACACACAAATTAATTAATTAATTAATTAATTTTTTAAAAAACCAACACAATCTGAAAAGTCTACTTCCTGATTCTAAATATATAATAGTCTGAAAAAAAAAATACCACTATGGAGACAATAAAAAAATCTAGAGTTGATCTTGTGGTTTCCAAGGGAGAAGGGGATAAAGGGAAGGAGGCAGGATGGCGAGAACTGTAAGTTCACCCATCAGCCACGTAGTGACGAATATGTTGGGTTTCATAAAAGGGAATTTACAGAATTAATACACTATGATGACAAAGACAATATGGAAATATGGAAATTTTTCTTCATACCCAGTTAATGTTTTCCTAAACAAAAAAGAAAAGCCTCATAATTTGAGATTTTTTTTCAAGACTAAAAATCTGAGTTCTGGATATAATCAACATAAATCTATACATCGTTCACATTTCATGCTTTATGTAGAATTGAATACTTAATCATTGTGACAAAAATAGCCATTGTGATTAAAAGCAACAGCATTACCTAAAGTTACACCTAGCTATCCTGTCATAAGTTTGATTTCAAAGCTTTCTTTTTCAATATTTCCCCACAACTATATATTTCATCCAAATATCTCTTGTATGCTATTAAAGAATAATCAGATCTGCTCAAAGTAGGTAGATATCACTACCAAGGCAATAAATTCTAGCTTTGAGAAAGGTTTCTTACCATTTATATAATCACTAAGGACCAATATTTGACTTATAAATTCTAATTTCGTCTTTTACACACCGAGAAAAGAGATTAACCATTTTATCTACATCAAGATGCTTGTTTTGGAGGATTGATTCCATCTCTCTGAATAGTTCTTTCTCCAGCTTCTTCATATTGTCCAACATTGTTTTGGCTTTTTCCTGAACAATTAAAAAATATAAAAATAAATGCAATGTGAATCTAACCAAATTCCAACCCATAGACATAAGCCTCCATAGACAAGGTTTGTTCACTCTTCTTTCTACTCTTGGTTTGCTTATTTCTCCTATTCTGTTGATACAGAATAAATGAAAATGCTTTTGGGGGGGAATTATTGCTCTAGATTATTATCTATTAATAACAAAAATTATTAGTTATTTTTAGTAAAAAGAGTGTATTACACTAATAAGCAAAAAACTAAACACTAGGACAAACGAGAATGGGAAACTTTGTTGAAAATTGAGGCAGAGAAATTTTTGTGAATTTAGATCTCTTATATTTACAAATAATTTTAAGAGATTAAGAATGGAGATTAGTAATGTTCAAGGGAGAAGCAGTTAAAAGACATTTCTTCTCTCACTTGCTCGTTTCAAGAAAGAAAAATAAAGGTTCATGACTTTTACAAAAAAAGGAGAATTTTTTTTTTCTGCAATGCTGGGGACCAAACCCAGAAAGAGCCTTACATAGGTAGACGACTGTTCCACCTCTGAGCCACTGCCTCCCACTCTAGAAAGGAACAACTTTTAAATTGCTGCCAATCTCCACTGTCAGTTTACAGTACGTAGAGAAAGAAAAAACATTGTAGGTAAGAAAAAGTATTATATATAAGGAAAATAGTTTTTAAATTTCAGTCATTATGGGCAGGATGCCAAAGATTCTTTTATTTTAAAATTTATTTATTTATTTGATACAGGGTCTCGCTACACAGTGCTACACAGTTCAGACTCAGAGTGATCCTCCCGTCTCAGCCTCCCCAGTGCTGGGATCATAGGGTGGGATTACAGGTGTGTGCCACCATGCCCGGTTTTGGTGGCAGGCAGGAGCTTAGACCCACAAACTATCACCTCAGCTCAAAACAAAGATTCTCAATGTAGATTTCAATATGAAATGGTATGCAATTTTATTTTCGTACAATTGTATGAAACTGCATTTCCCATGAGAGGAAAAATAAATGTGTATAAATGGTACTGGGATCATTGGATATCTTTTTAAAAAAACATTTAGATGTAATAACTATATACACAAAACAAATTTCAAATGAATTAAAGAACAAAATATTTCTAAAAATACATATAGACAAAAAAATTTTTTCTAGTGTTTCAAGAAACATACATACTGGGAAAAACCACAGAAGTTATATTCATTTTGAGACAAGGCAGGTCTTTTGAAACATGGAATCAAGATGCCTTAAAGGAAAAGACTAATAAATGTAACTGATTAAATTTAAATTTTTCTGTCTGACAAAACAATGTTAAATGTCAATCAATAAACTGAGATTTTTAAAATTTACAGTATAGGCTAGGCATAATAGTCCATAGAGCACCTCAGCTCCTTAGGAGGCTTGGGCAAAAAGATTACTTGAGCCCAGGAGTTTGGGGTCATCCTGAGCAACACAGCAAGTCCCCCACTTAAAAAAAAAAATACAGTGTAATCGTTTATGTTTTTGCCTCTTTGAGTTAACAACCAAAAGTGACCTGGAATCAATTGAGAAATAGCTAAGAAGAAGAGAGAGCAGGCCCGACCGAGGCCGTGGGATCCTGAACAGACCCAGAGGGCAGGCCGGGTGAGTGAGTGAGATGACCCGGGGCCCTCCGGATCCTGAATCGACCCAGAGCCCAGGCCTGGCCAGTGAGTGACACCACCCAGGGCCCGTGGATCTTCATTTGACCCAGAGTGCAGGCCCAGTGAGGAACCCTTCAGCAGAACTCCCTCCCTGCAAAGAGGCTAGAGGCAAGACCCACCCAGCTGATTCAGGAGCAGAACATCTTGCCAGAGAGACACAAAGGGTTCAACTCTAATAGCTGCAGCAGAAAGAAGTGGAGCACAGCAGCCAGATCCAAACAACACCCACCTGGAGGAATCTGAACTTCATAGATCTGG